AGATTTTGTATAAATATAACGTATAAAATTTATATATAATTAAAATTTTATTATTTTAATAATAAAAAATTATAAAAACTAAAACTAAAGCACAAGAAGTTGTTCTCAAATAAATTTTAAAAAAGTATAATTTCAAAGTTCAAGTAATGTAAAAGTATAAAGAACTAAAAATGTTTAAAATTATAATTTTAATGATTAAAATTAATATTTAACTAAAGAAATATCTGTTTTTGCAGATGGCAAAACATGTTTACAAATATCCTTTTATTATAAATTTTGATATTATTGGTGAATGGTTCACCTCGAGATTTATTTAATGTGTGGCTCTGACAATTTAATGCGAGGTGGTGACAACCACACTTACTTTTGTGGCGTCTTGTGTTCTGAAAAACACATTTCTTTTTTGTGAAATTGTTGGTCGAAATATTACAGTGCCCATCATGCTCGGAAGAGGATACAATTTTTAAACCCACAACCATTAGGAGGTCCAGACTCCAGACACCAGACGAGAAAGAAGAGGAAATAGAAGATAATGATGCGATACAAAGAGGTAAAATTTCTGCGTGGAATGCCGATTCGCAGTTGAATTTCCGTTTCACTCTTTGCTTCTCATTTGATGGATTTAGGAAAAGGAGGCAAAGAAAGAAGCATTTAGGAAGTATCTGGAGTCCAGTGGAGTCCTTGATGCCCTCACCAAAGGTTTCTGCATTCCCCTTAAATTTCTCTCCTTTTCATCAAATTTTGGTTTTTCCATGTCTGATTTCATGTGGGCTAATCTGCTTCTTTTGTTTTTCAATTTGTTTTTCTAGTTTTGGTTTCATTGTATGAGCAGAATGAGAAGCCATTCTCAGCCCTTGAGTAAGTTCATTTATCATAATCTTTTGAGGAATGTGTCTGTAGTTACTAAGTCCAGAATATGCAGATCTATAGATATAGCTGAATTTTGGAATTCATATTACAATAACAGAATTTCTTCTTAGTATGTATCTTTTTCTTTGAGAAATGGGTACCTGGAAAACTAGAAATTTACAAGATTGATTGCTTTATAGTGGGAAATTCTTCATATGACGTGGAACATATTAAAAATCTAAAGCAAGTAAGCAACTGCTTTTGAAATATTTTTGGGATTATTTACTAGTTTGAACTTGTTAAGAAATGAGAACTGGATTTAGAGCAATTTGGTAGTTAGATACTTAGATCAGAAATCCACATTCGTTGTCCTAGTAGGGTCTGAGGGATCAGGAATGAAAAACCATGTTTGATGATTTTGATTTTTCCTTATTGCCCAATGTTCGGCCACAATCCAGATAAAGATGGAAAGGAATCTGAGCCTTGCTTTGATTTCC